AAAATAATAAAACCCTTTCTTCTTATTTACATTTAGAAAAAAAAAAGAAAAGAGTTTTTTAAAAAAAAAAAAAAAAAAAAAAAAAAAAAAACTTTTTAGAAAAGTTTAGCTAAACTCTGTCCCCTGCTGACTGCAATATGCCTAATCAGGGAATAGATGAGATTATTTTCTCCCTTTGGACACTTTTAGGTGTTTGTGTCTCCTTTCCCCAACCCTGTGGTAGGAATTTTATTGGGACACTTATAGTAGATGGGGACTCATAGAAAAGCACACCCACAGACCCGCAGTCAAACAGATTATCACAACAGTAACAGTCATTTGTTAGGAAGTCATATGATGAACACACCCTTTACCTCAGTCACTGTCAACAAAGACTTTATGTCTCAGCCACAGTGAATTAACCTAGTAAAAACATCTAATTATGGGTCACAAGACCACAGAAGAATGAGGTCAATAAATAAATCAAAATAAAGCAGAACTAAGCCATCGTTCCGCACAAAAAATCTACTCTGTTGCTGCTCAAGATCCACTTTCCCCTACACAAGAAAAATGGTGGGGTGAAATCCTACCAACATCATTAAAAAAAGTCTGAGCGAAGAGAAGACTGCCAGGCAACAAAGTCTTTGTTTCTAACTCCGTACCGTGGGCTGTTTTTCCCCTTACTTCCCCATCCGATCTTCCAAAGGGGTAGAACGCAGGGCGCAGTGTGGACGTTCCCACTTGAAAGACGGGCAGGAATTATACGTTAGACATAAATGAATTTCCTAATCATATACTCCAGGGGAAAAATGAGACGCAGATGTCTTCCTGGGCAATTTCCCTCGCTGATCTTTGTTTAATTTGAGAGCGAGGTTTTTTTTTTTTTTTTTGTTGTTGTTGTTGTTGTTTGGAAATGAAAAGTCTCAAAAGCTCAATTTGAACAATTTGAAGAGTAAACGACCGCTGGCGGTGAGAGAAAATGAGGCCGGCAAGAAAACAAGAAAAACAGCATGTCGTGCTGTCATTGCTGAAAAGTGTGATTTATAAGCATGTTTAAGCTTTTGTTAGCATTGAGTTAGTATGTCATTTTGTGTATGTTTTATAATATATATATATTTTTTTTTTGTAGGCAGTTCGGCCTGTGTGTAAATCCAGAGATTTTCTTATAAGTGACACATGTAGTGTCTTGTAAAAGTTTTCAACCTCCTTGAATCTTTCCACATTTTGTCATGTTACACAACAAGATGAAATATTTTCTTGTGATTTTTCACAAATGAAAAGTCTATAAATTATGGCATAAATTAATAATAAGCTCCAGTGAGTCAACACTAGAGCATAGAACCACCAAGTGTTTGGCTGTATTTCTCGACCAGCTTTGCACATATACACATTATTGCCCATTCCTAACAGCAGAATAGCTCTCAAGCTTAGTCGCATTGAATAGAGAGCATCTGTGAGCATCTTTAGTCTTGCCACAGATTAGATTTAGATCTGTGCTTCCAACGGGCAAGCATACGAATATGCTTTCATCTAAAGTATTCCCTTGCAGCACCTGCATTGATGTTTAGCGCTGTTGTCTTGCTGGAAAGACAACATCCTCATCATCCTACGGTTTTCTTGCAGGTTTGCCCTGTATTTAGTTCCATCCGTCTTCCAGTAACTTTGGCAAACTCTTCTGTTCCTACTGAATAAAAGCATTCCCACAATATGAGTTTGCCACCATCGCTTTCCTTAGCAGCGATGTTGTGTTCAGGCTGACGTGCAAAGATAGTTTTCCACCACAAAGTGGTTTGCATGAAGGTCACAAAGGTTACTATTTAGCTCTGATCTGAAGAGTGCACCGTCTTTTACACGTTAGCTGTATTCCACAAATGACCTGTGGAAAACTACAAGCAAGACGTCTTTTTGTCTTCCTGCTTTAGAATGACTACATGTGAGGACTGCATGACAAATACTTGCCCTGTTGACAGATTCTTCCACCTGAGGTGTGGCTCTCTGCAGCTCCACAAGGGGTAACAAAGGTCTCTTGGCTCCTTCTCTGAATAATGCTTTTCTCATCTGGCTCGCCAGTTGACGTGGACAGTAGTTGTGCCATAATCCTTTCATTTTCAGATGATGGATTGAACACTGCACTGTGAGATGTTGAAAGCTTGGAACATTTATAATCTAAAACTGCTTGAAAAACTCTCCACAAGGTCACCTCTGACCTGCTGTGTGCCTTAGTCTTTGTGATGCTGTCCGTTCACAGAATAGCTGGTTTCATGCTGACATTAAATTACAGACAGGTAGACTCACTTTACTAAATAGGTTCCTTCTGGGACTTTATTTTGGCCAATTACTAAGGGCCTCACAGATACTACACACATCCGATAAGACAAATTGAAATTTGTGGTTAGAATGTGACAAATTGCGAAAAAAGTTCACGGGGGAATGAATACTTTTGCTTTACAAAGCGCTATAAGCACAGGTTGCCCAGCATGGCATATGGGTGCTTCCAAGCCTTGCATATGATTGCACATGTGTTTTTGTGTCGGACCCCTCTTAGCTCCAGTGTCTTTCTCACACTTGTAAAGAGGCAGCTGCCTCTTCAGCACTGCCGCTTTCTCATTCTCATGGCGGGTCCTTTATGAGACTGAGTGGGTGCATGTGGAGATGGATGAATGAGACCTCACTCACACACAAAGCACACCGCACAACACATGCACATATACTTTGGTAAATAACCCAGCAGGAAGTACATCAGTGTTTCTCTACAGATGAGTAAAATAGACGCCGCACTACAGAGAGACGTTAATACACACTTTGGTCAAGAAGACATGGATTTCATCACGGTGCCAGTTAATCAGACATCTGTGTGTTCCCGCCCTGTAGAGATGGCTGCCGTCCAGTCAATTATATGCTGGATGACTGTAATCATGAGTGGCAGAGGCCAGTCCTTAAGCACTTCAAAAGTAAAATCACCGACCAATTACACTAATGAAGCGAGAACTGTGACTCAAATCTCTCTATTCTGCAGCTGATTTGAGGGTGGTAGCATTCAACATGGACTGAATCCCCACATCAGCTGAAGACATGATACCCAGAGTTCATTTCTATCCTCCTCCTCCTACTCCTTTTATGCTGCTTTGCAAACCGGAGCTGCACGCAGGCTGGCGTCACCTATTTAGAGGAAGTACCAAAATTAAATACAGCTTATCAAGTAGCCCCCTTTTTTTTTTCTGTTGCTATGTTAGACATTCAGACTGCGAACAAAATCTGATCTGAGATTGAGATAAACAGCTTCATGCTATTTCTGCTATTTATAAGTGTGCATGTGTGGGGGGTCAACGTTAATTTAGCTCCATGGCTACATAGGGCATGTGTTTGACAAGGCCCCTCCAGTGTCTTCATTCACCCTTTTCTTTCCCTCTTACACACGTCGCTCACGCTCACACACACACACAGAAAAAGAGAGGTGTGGTTAAACTCTCGTACATTTAACTGTTACTGAACAAATTTCTGATGTCCTGTTGTGGTCTAACAGGCGCGCTCCATTCTATTCCCCATGCTCACACACTCTTCCGTTGCGGTTTGGCCAAATGTGCATTCAACCCCGAATTCTCCAACTGAACCAAGGTGTCACGTTCGAGCTCGCAATTTGCACAGTTGGTGCAGTTGTTGCTGCTCAGACCGAGGAAAGACATTGTTTAAGCAGTTGAAGGCCACTTTTTGCCAGTTACCATGCGCAGTCTACTACTCGTCCAGCTCCACGTGTAACAGACTTAAGGGAGTGAATGGTGTATGATAAAGCTGGGAGGTAAGAAGAGAGATTCTTGCAGAACTTTAGTGAGGAGGGTGCTGATTGGAATGTGGATCATGGGTAATTAGTTTTGCTCATGGCAGTCGCTAGGATCTCACAAGCTGGGGCCTTAAGCCGGAGTTCTGCTCGACGGGCCTCTTACTCTCCTGTTCTGTCCCTTTCACCACCTCGTACTCTCCCCCAGCCGGCTAAGGGAATGACAGATTGAAAATATACTGCATAAATAAGCAAACATGCACATGTGCACACACACCGCCTGCAATATTTCCATAGAAAAGACATGATGACTAAGCCTTTCAGTGACATGCCCCATTTACACTAGACTAGAATTATCTGGGGACCTTTAGTGATTTTGAATACACCCCCACATCTGGGTTTCATGTACCATATTTGCACAAGATGAGAAAAAAGGGTGTTTTGGTAAACATTGCAAGTCAATTCTCCAAAGAATTGGTCCCAGATATGATTGAAACACAGTGTTTTACAACTAGTCTCGCAAAGAAACTGAACTCTTGCAGAAAGTGCCACAAAATGAGTGTTTACATGTATATCTGAAAGACATCCATCCAAAAGGTTTTGGTTTCTTAGATCTGTCATAGACATATAGACATATCTCAGACAGGGCCACAAAATGTGGATTTTGTTTATTTAAACACAGTGAAAAGATCATGGGCATCAGAAGGCTCTTTATGGAGCAACAGTATTTGAAACACCTTGACTGCCCTGCAAAAGTATTCATGCTCCCATGAAAGTGTTGACATTTTTCAACCACATGCAATTTTATTGGGATTTTATGTGATAAACCAACACAGTTGCAAGTCTTTTGGGATATGTCTCTACCAGCTTTAAGCAGCTAAAGATGGAAGACTTTGTCAGTTTTCTTGGTAAAATAGCTCAAACCCATGTAAGCTGGAAAGCTGGCATATGTGGTCATACATTTTCTTACCATATTCTCAAAACTTTAACTGGTCCATTCTAACACACACTTTCTTCTAAATCACTTAAGCTGTGGATCTCTGTAGACCCTCTGGAGTTAGCATGGGCCTCTTGTCTGCTTCTCTGAATAATTCTCTCCATGCCATTTTGCCAGGTTAGATGGAAAGTCACAACACAGTAATTTTGCAGCTGACCCATAGTTTTTTTGGTTTTTGAATAATCATTGGAACAGTGGTCTGTGAAATGTTTAAAACTTGGGATTTAGTTTACTAACCTAACACTGCTTTAAGCATTTCCATGACTTTATTCCTGGCCCGTCTCCCTTGATCTTCATGAAATTGTTTGTTCATTGATATTCTCTAGAAAAGTCGTATTTTTGCTAAGAATAAATTAAACAGCAAGTGACTTTGGAAGGCATTCCTTGTACAATTTTCTTATAGGCATACAAGTAAAGGAGTTAATTTTAATTGGAAACAATAAATTGTACAATCATTCTTCTACTTCACAATCATGCACAAGTTTGTGTTGGTCTATCAAATAAAATCCCAATAAAAATACATTAAAGCTTCCGGTTGTAAGGTGACAAAAGGAGACAAAGTTCAAGCGGCACGAATACTTAAGAAAGGGACTGTAACTCTAATGAAGTTCGTAGGAACATCATTAAAACGGCTGACCAAGTTAGTAGAACACTTCCATCTGTGTTCCCCCACTGTTTTTCATTTGCACACATGCTTCCACCATCAGTGGATATTTATCACCGGGGTCTCCCCCCTACAACCCCACCAAGACACTCTTTCTACCCCCTTCACCCCCACTCAAATGAGAACTGAATGGAATCTTTCAGCTTCCACATGACCCTCTCTCTCCACGTTGTGTTTTTCACGGCTGCTGAGCGACGCAGAGCCCTTCACAGAGTGCCTCTGTTCCCCCCCAGTGAAGGCAACACAAAGGCTGCGTTTGAGGCGCGCACTACGGAACGCCGTCAATGGAACGTACGCCACAACAAATGGCCCTGTTGTTGCACGCACTCGTGTTTGTTGTGTGCGACGGGTGACCAGACAGAGAGCCAGGCGTTGACCCCTCATGTCAGGGCCTTGGGAGTGTGTGTGTGTACGGGTGTGTGTTAGACAAGGCTACCCAGCTGTGCCCGACCAAAGCCCCCAATTCCCCATTTTTACACTCCGCACTGCATGCCGTAAAATTTAACCATTAAAATGGGAGTCCCTTTGCTATAAACTTGAGCTGAACATGTCCTTGTGGGTACACTGGTGGACAAACAAAAGCTGTCTCATAAGATTTCATCAACATGCTTCTCCACCAGCACTGCTTAATAAAATAAGATGTTTTACAGAAATAATAAACTTCCCTCTTTTGAATATGTAAAAAGTAGCCAGAGATTCAGAGCCTAGCTTCTGCATACGGTGCAATTTTTTAGCTTCTGTTTCCCCCCCACTTGTTTTACCATTTTATAGCTGAAAGCGGGCAGGATGTGTCACAGCCGAGGCACTGAGCAAACATTCCCATATGAACTCCACGACCACTAACTTCAACACATCATGGACCAAATCTTCACTTGGGTTTGGGTTAGTGTTAGTCATGCGTTTTATGGCCCCAAGTGGGTGAGTGGGTGACATAGATGTGTGTTTGTGTGTCTGCAAGCAGACATGTGTGAGAAGACGAGGCCATTCTTACCAGCACTGGTGCCTGCACCAGTGGTGAGGTCAGCACCCATGAGGCCACCTGTAAGATGAAATAACGAGCAAAGCAGAGGAGAAAAAACCATTAGAGGATAGACACCCACACAGCATCCATTCCGCCTCCCTGTCTCTCCCACTTTAATCACAACGTGTGTCGGTGCGACGCGAGAAGCAAGGCTTCCTCCCACTTAAACCCTTAGCACACTGAGCAACTGGACGACACTGCGGATGCACGAAGGTGCTGTCCAAGAAAAATGACACATTATTATTTTTAAAACATGCGAGGTGGAAGAGTGGGAGGGTTGAGAATGTTTTTTGCCCTGGATGCGGTGAGCGCCAAAGCTCATATTTAGTTTGTGCTCTGCGTTTCAGACATCCAGTCGTAATGACAGGGTTGAGGGTGTGGGCAACAGCCTTTTGGGCTACAGGGACAGAAAAAGGACTTTGGACAACAATAACAAACCAACAGGCTCAACTGCTTATAAGTAGCACCAGAGTCTCACAATAAATAACTGTGGGCTGGGATTTAATATTGTTTTACATCATTTTGCTGTTACCTTTGACAAAACAGTGAAGCGGGGAATATGTGATTATATGTGGGAGGAAAAAAAAACAAAAAACTCCAGCTTCATTCACCGCCTTTAGGTGGAACATTGTGGGTAGCTGTCATGAATTAAATTACACGTTTTGATGTGTCTGGCTCTATTAGCATGACAGACAGGTTCACACGCTTGCTCGAAAAGACAGACAGATGGGATAACCGCATGCTTTGGGGTTGGGGGGTGCATGGGTGCACATGGGGCACTACCTGCGTTACCTGCACTGGGGGGTCTATGTGTCACGCCTGGAGACATGCTGTTTCTCTGTAGACCATGGTGCGCTAGTGGCAACAGATTGTGGTTGCCTAGGGACCCACCGGGATGGCTGTAGATTAAATTGTTCTGGTTGCTTGTGGGGATAGAGACGGGCATGTCGTAGTTCGATGGGGGCACAGCCTGCTGGGAAAGAGATGAGAAATATATATAAATATATAAAAGACAAAGATTAGACTAAAGATAACAACCATTCAAGTGAGTAAATTAAAGATTAGGGCTTTTAGTAAAGGGTGGATAAAAAGAGACAAAATGATGATTCAGAAACACTCCAGGAGTGCAGAATAAAGACAGAATTGCTGAAGAGTACAGATGAAAAGTGGATGAATGAATGTGGAAAAAAAAAAAAAAAAACATGGACTGGACATGTACAGGAAATTTTAAAAATCCAAACAAGACAGTGGTAAAGAAAGAATAAGTAGGACAAGGAAAGATTGTCAACAAAAAACAAGGAATTATCTTGTTAGTAACTCTGGCCATGGCAACCCTTTAGCATTAGAGTTTGATTTAGCATGACTCAGCATGGAAACAAATAATTCCTAAGAATGGCATGACTGACAACTTTTTGCTTTACTTTCCTACATCTTGAGATCAGAAACGGACTCATGCCTGATCTGAGTATTTTTCTGGACTATTACAAAATAGCCAAAAATAAATTCTATGGGTTACTTGGATAAGGATTTGGCATTGTGTTTTCCTAAGAAGGCCAAAGTAAAATATAATAGATTTACCTTCTAAATAGTGTTTCCTGAATACGTTTTTTCTAGATGAAATAAAGAATTATTTCCCCTTGTGCGTCACTAAGCCGACACCAGGTGTTTAAATGGTTGGCGCAGATCAGCCAGCAGCTCAATCAGGAACACGAGTCAAGCTAACCCGACAGCCCTGAGGCATCCAGTTTGTCATATTTATTGTGTCATTTGGCAGAAGGATTTAACCTTGGGAGTGCCCTGGAAGTGGTTGATCCTTTATGTTAGCTTTAGGAAGTAGAAAATAGGCCTCTAAATTACTGCCATGTGTCTTCAAGTTGCGGAGGGAGTGTATCGTGAGAGCATCGGCCTGCTGTACATGGAAACCAGCTTGGTGCCTTAGCATTACCTCAACTTCTACGATTTTTTTTCCCTCTACATTGCTAAGGACAAATATTATTTCAACATACAAAAATGGTTGTTTCAACCATTTTTCATTGTGAGCTTTTGTACGCTTCACTGTGACTGCCAATCCAGTCACTCACCCAGTCCACCATTTCTTCCATTTTAGATTCCTCACTGGACTTTCAGAGCTTATGATTGCCTTCTTTGTAGTGGGAGCTGTCTACGTCCCTCATTACTGGGAGCAAAGGGCCCCGTTTGTGAACTGTCTTCTAGCTGGTGCCATCCTTCCTGTTTTCACTCATCTTCCTCCCTTGCCTTTCCCCACAGCCCCCCCATGCCCTGCCAACAGTCCCCTGCAATCCAGAGGCCCAGTGTTTGGCAGGCGCCCTGACCACACGCTGAACTGCCACTTGTTGTGTACAGAGTCCACCCCTCAACTCGGCAACCCCTGCCTTTTTTCTAACCACATCGCCTCCTGCTCCACGTGGGCTAGATACTACTGTTCTCCTCTTACTAATATACTGTGGAATTATGTCTCTCTATGCAAGTGCCAGAGAGCTAACCATTCCAATATGGCACATTCTGGATGAGGAGCAGGGGTCAGTTTAAATGGAAAAGAAGTCCCTATTTTGTGGTTTGTGTCAGCTTACTTTGCAAAATTAACATCATAACTCTTGCAGACGCTACCTTGACATGTGTCCACTAAGAAGCCTTCAATAATTTCAGGTTTGTGAAGAACTTGGAACATCTGCTACAGTTTCTCTGCCATGCTGCCTGCCACCTCCCCCCCCACCTCCCCTCTAACCCCAAACCCCTGATGTTGCAGGTGACTGAGTGCTGTTTTGGTGCAGGCAGCAAAAAGGACAAACACATGCACACCACACTCCCCCCGGGACACAGGCAACAGTAAAGCGGGCGGAATGAGTTCAAGGTGGGAAAGTCAGATATATATTTTTTTTTTCTTGAGAGAAAGTCTGCAATTAATAGAGGAAAACGCCTGTGAGCTGCAGTCACACTTCTGTCAGATTAGAGGGCTGTTCTTCAAATGTAAGCAAGCAAGTTTAAAGAACTGTAATTTCTTCATTGTAAATAAACACTGTAATCGCACTTTGAGCTTACTCTCACTCTCTTTGTGCAATTAGTCCAGTTAAAAACAACTGTGGTTAGCTGGGTTAGCTCAACAGTTGCCATTGAGAAGCTGCTGAGCGAAGGGGTTGCTCCCTCAGTACTTACAGGGATCTTATGAGTTTTTATCATGTGATCAAACTCCTCATTAATCTGTTTGTATTTCTCCTCAGTGCGTGGGGTGAGGATGAGAGCAGACTCGAGCTCCGGGCTCTCACTGCCCTTGTTCTCCTTCTTGTTCAATGCCTGGCCAGGTTCCACAACCACAGAAAAAGGAGGTGGGGGAAACGTGAAGACATGAAGGTAAGGAGTGATGGCGGGGACATGGAGATGAAGAGACAGACACAGGGGGAGGGGGGAGAAAAAAAACAGGGACAGGGGAAGAGAGGAAAAGAAAGGTGAGAGCAAGGCTCTGGGGTTAAGTACTTACACACAGTCTCTGTCTGCTGATCATCAGATCAATGTCCTCGTTTATTTTCCTGTACTTGTCCTCGGACTCGGGGCTGTGGCCCACCGAGTCGTCTGCGTCTGGGTCTGGGCTGTCACAGCCGTTTAGGCCCTTCTTTCTCAACGTCTGAAAACAGAGCAGTTGCACAACATAGTCGAAGGTGATTTTGGGTAGGTAGCCAAGAATCCCAATTAAAATACCTTAGTCTTTTTTTTTTTTTTTTAATGAACTGTTAAAGTACATTTGTTGTTCCATGACAAGTGTATTCTTTTTTTTTAAATCATTTTGGCATTTTGGAAATCTCTAACCTGTTAACATTGAGTGAATGAGCATTAGTTGTTTTTTTTTTTTAAACACGCTTACATTCAACTTATCATTTAGAAATGGCACAGACATTTTAATCACAACCAACAGCACAATGCCACATGATCATAGACTTGAAGAATTAAAAATAGTACAAGACTTTGAAAAAAACAATAAAGAGGAGGTGTGGTATTCAATGCCTTGTAAATGCAGAGCTCTTTTACTGCAATTACAGCTGTAACTACTTTATGGTATGTCTCTTTGAACTTGACACTAACATTTTTGTCCTTTCTTCTTCACAGCACAGCTCAGTCATAACTTTGATTTATTTCCCCTAGGATTATCTTGTATTTATCTACATACATGGAAACCGGCTTGGTGCCTTAGGATTGCCTCAACTTCTTTTTTTCCTTCTACATTCTCTTTCCTTTGTGAAGACAAAAATCCACATAGCATAATGCTGCCACCACCATGTATCACCGATGGGGATGTTGTGGAAACCCGACTGCCTAGAGCTTTCTTTCAGCAGTAATAGATCAATAGCTTGTACTTCTATAACACTTTATCAAGTGCAGAGGACACCAAAGTGTTTTACACGCAATCAGTCATTCAGCCATTCACGCACACATGGGTGAATTACAAGCGGATGGTGGAAAGACACATTGAGGCCACAGCTGTGCTGGGGCCAGTCTGACATGACAGGTTGTCATGCACCGGTGCCACCAGGCCCACCAGCAAACTCAAGAACACGAGTGAGACAGACAGCGCCGGGATTGAACCAGCAACCCACTGGTTATAGGACCGACTCCACCACCGGCCCATCAAACAACAACAATAGCCTTATTCTCATAATTTTCCATAAAGAACAGATTTGTGGAATGCACAACTATAATAATTGCATGATTAAATTACACACAATTGGGCTCATTTCACTCATAAGGTGATGTCTGAAGGCGGTCAGGTGTACTTTAGACCTGTCAAAGTAAAAGAGGTGGATACACATGTACACTGGGGTATGGGTGCTGCAATAAATATTACAATTATTCACTTCACTTTATTAGACTGTTACAAAAATAAAAATGTAACGTCACAAAAATGCTACTTCAAGGCACTATATATGTGCTACAAGGAAGGCAGTTTCTTGTTTTGGCCACCTGATGGCCACCTGCCCCTATTAGAGTGGGCAGCAAAACAGCAGAAAACCACTGACTGGCTTACCACTCCCTCTAACTGGAGGAGCGACTAAGACAAAGAAAGCTTTAAGGGGGGTGAGGGAGAGCCACATCTGTCCTTTTTTTTTTTTTTTCTTTTAAAGAAATTGTTGACATCCTTAACAACAAGGATGAGTTTCACAGTACATTACTTTGCGTGATAGCATGAGAGCCTGCCTGCCTTGCAACGATAGGTGCTGTGTTCATTTGCCTCACAAAGTGGGGAGACAAAGACAGAGCAGGAGAGCAGAAAAGTACAGTAGCTGACAGTTACAGATCTCATCAAAGACAGCCCCCTCCTTCCACTCTTCTCCATCCACCCCTCCACCCCTTTCCATTCTCTCTCTCCTTCTGGCTTTAATAAAGGGAGATTAGTCTACAGGAGGAATATCATGGGCCTGCTCCTGTCTGTGCAGTCGTTGCTTCGCACCGCGCTCTCCTACTTTCATCTGGAGCTCCATATCAGACAGACGTAATTAAATTTACTTTAGCACACCCTGTATTTGATGCTGATCAAGTGTGTGTATGTATGTGGGAGGGGAAAGAAGGGGAATGAATCTGTGTTTGCGTGTGCACGTGTGGGTGTGTGAGAGTAGGTGTTCGAGCCAAGCACAAAAAAAAGAAAGAAAGAAAGAAAGCAGGAGAGAGGAAAGGAGATGGATGCTAAGATAAGTTAATCCCTGTGAACTTATTCCTCTCATTTGTTTCTCTCCGCCAGTTCTCACTCACAGAAGCGATACAAGTGCGAGCAACTCCATCACAAGCAGCTGCAGAAATGACAGGAGCGATCTGCCTGCTTAGAAAACAAATAACAATCCAGTTATCTCTTATGTCAGCACAACAAAGGCCTGTTTAGAATGTGGTTTTAGTGAACTTAGAGGGCCGCTTTTGTGTGTGTGTGTGAGCGATAACTGTTTGATTCTTGAAGCGTCTCGTGGCTGAGGCATCTACTGTAAGTGTGTCAACATTTGCTGGCTCTCCGAATCCTCCCTCGGCCCCTAGAGTGGAAATCTGGAATTCTGAATTTAAAAGCGTCTCTCATATCTTTTGACAGTCTTCAGGAAATCGCACCAAACAAATCAGCTGAGGCGTTACAAAAAACCTGCAGTGAATCAGGCCCTCTTGCTCTATTAGAGCACTCTACGCGGAAAGAACAAAGGGGTGAAAGAGGTTCAGCACGCTGCATTCTTGTTTGTAAGAAAAGGCGTCAGATGTAAAAAAGTTTCGATTTCTCCTGCCGAGCTTCCTCCATGATCTTGGCGATGCATCACATCATGCTGACAAGAGCTGAACCGCCGGCCTTTCCTTGGTTCACACGAGAACACACGCAAGAACCAGTAACTTTTCTTCCCACCAGCACAGATTTCCACCTACTGCCACCAGCGAGGAGAGCACTAGGGATTCAATTCCATTCTCGGAGAAACAGCAGTGTAGCTATGCGGGAGGACGAGAGCAAAGGCTGGGCCAAAAGTGTCACCCATATGGGATAACTGAGCTGGCTGTCCTGCAGGGGGTTGGGCAATGGTTGCGCTGGGCGTCGATGAAGTGCAGGCAGTCAGGACAGGAGTGACTATGAAGCATGTGGCCTAGGCTTAGCTCTCCAGCAGGACTCGACATATTTAGGGTCGGGTTCAAGGATGCTATGTCACCTATCCCAGTTATGCCCACCTGTTCAGTGACATCACATCTGTTGCCAAAGACTGACAATCAGCCCAGCAACCAATAGGATCATCTGTAGCCATAAATGGACCCCTCACTCTTGTAGTCTACTTTTGCCATCCTATGCTTCTTAATGTTGTTTTATAACTTGTTGATATGTTTTTTTATTTTTTTATTTTTATTTTAAGGAAACATCAATTCTTGCTAGGGGGTAAGAGATGCTTATTAATTTTACAAGGCAACAAAGAAAAATAACTAAGTGTAAGGTCGGACAACCTCTCACTAAAATGGAGTCCTTGGGGAATATTGGGCCAGTATTAGATTTTACAAGTGATAACAATTTTATGATACTATAATTGCGTAGTATCAAATAATTTACCCACTTTATTTTTATTCCAAACAGAAATGCAGCAATAGTTCCAATTGCTGCTACAGCAATATAAAGAAAGTATTCTTATAATTACAATAGTTAAGGAAGTCTCTATCAACTGGACGTTTTGCTTTGCCTCTGTTAGGATTGATTGGTTAAATAATGACAAATCAGATTTTATTTCCCCCCCCCCCCCCCCGGCATTCCACTCGGGAATCTACAAAATACTCACCAAAAAAAAGCCAT